AGCCCTGCAGAGTTTTGCTTCAACCCTAATCAAACACACCTGAACAAGCTAATCAAGGTCTGAACGGTTACTAGAAAGCTACAGGCAGGTGAGTTTTAATTAGGGTTGGAGCTGAACTCTGCAGGGCTGCGGCTCTCCAGGACCGGAGTTCGCCACCGCTGGGATAGATGATCAAATTCTCTCATCATTTACTTACCCTTATGTCATTCCAAACCTGTACAAGTTTTTCTTCTGTTCAACACAAAAGATCATTTCGAAGAATGTTGACTTCCATTGCGTTTTAGTCAGCAATTGTTTGGTTACACACATTCTTCAAAATATCTTCTATGTTCAACAGAAGAAATACCCTCAAGTTGTTCCAAATCTGTATGAGTTTGAGTAAATGGTGACAGATTATTAATTTTTTGGGTGAACTATCCCTAAATATCGGACATTTAATCGCATAAAAATAATTCTCAGCTTGTCATATCAAATTTTTAACTCTAAAAAACACGCATTGCTCCGCAGCTCAGATCTGAATCCAGCTGTGTTTAATTTTAATAGGCAGGCTATGGTTCTTCGTCAGTTCTTGATTGCAGCATCGACTCGTAACATGCTCAGTGACTCCTAACCTGGTTTAACCAGACATGTAGAAGTTGCATGATTCCATCATGTGATGTCAAATATAATTAAAAAGAGTTTTTCCTGGGAGTATTGTTTATTTATAGATGCCGGCACCGCTGTTAGATCGTACCCAGGAGTCTCCGAATGGTCAAAAGAAGCAGTATATGGTGCAGCCGTCTAAAATTGTTCACATCTGTGAGCAATCACAGCACCGGGCCTTTAGGAGTACTCCATGAGAATTACTAATCCACTAACCCAAACTAAGAAGAAAAGGTTACAACAACCCCCCAGGCCCGTGTAAAACTCGTCCATGCACACATGCTTCACTGCTAACGGCACTGGCACTAGCAGAAGCTGTTTCCCCTCCCTATTTGTCCTTTCACCAGTCCCACCCTGTAATCAGCCATCCCACCTCTGTCTCCAGCGTTTTTACTGGGTGGGCTATTTTTACCTCCGCACCACACAGCTACGTATTATCCCGCTCAGCGCTGATCTTTCATGGGAGATTAGAGTTAGATTATTTTAAATGTGTGTTAACTTAACATTAATATAATAATAATAATTAATATTTATAATTTATTAATTTAAAGTGATGTCAAATATAATTAAAAAGAGTTTTTCCTGGGAGTATTGTTTATTTATAGATGCCGGCACCGCTGTTAGATCGTACCCAGGAGTCTCCGAATGGTCAAAAGAAGCAGTATATGGTGCAGCCGTCTAAAATTGTTCACATCTGTGAGCAATCACAGCACCGGGCCTTTAGGAGTACTCCATGAGAATTACTAATCCACTAACCCAAACTAAGAAGAAAAGGTTACAACAACCCCCCAGGCCCGTGTAAAACTCGTCCATGCACACATGCTTCACTGCTAACGGCACTGGCACTAGCAGAAGCTGTTTCCCCTCCCTATTTGTCCTTTCACCAGTCCCACCCTGTAATCAGCCATCCCACCTCTGTCTCCAGCGTTTTTACTGGGTGGGCTATTTTTACCTCCGCACCACACAGCTACGTATTATCCCGCTCAGCGCTGATCTTTCATATTGTGTTACAGCTGAGATGGTGTCCGTCTGTTCCACGTAGTTATGAGGGAAACACAGTCCAATCAACAGATGTTTCATGTGTCAGTGGAGGGTTGATATTCAAAACTTAATTCTGTTTCGTACTGGAATATTTCAGACAAAAATGAGGATTGTCATCATTCATTCTCATGTTTATCTTTCTTTGTATTCTATGCAAAGGATGCATACGATGACCACAGATTGTCAAGTTCCAAAAATAACAAAAGTTCCAGAAAACAAAATACTCTAGAAAAGTATTTTTGAACATTCTGGTCAAGGCCAATAAGCTGATAATTATATTAATTTTATGGCTGATAACTGATAAATACTCAATATTAAAAGAATTACTAGTTTGTCTGAATATATATATATATATATATAATACTTTAAAAACTAAAATAATTTGTTTTAAGCACTACAAGTGAATTTAGGCATCATAACATTTATAATGCATGAAAAATGGATATTCATTCTGAGATTTAGAAACTCAATTTTTTCAAAAATGGCATTTATCGCGTTTTGGAATCAAATGCTTCATATATTAGTGCGGTCAAACGATTAATCGCAATTAATCCAAAATAAAAGTTTGTTTACATAATATACAGGTATGTATGTGTACTGTGTTTATTTATTATGTATAAATCGCAATTAATCGCATTATGCACAAAATTCAAAAATGCATTCAAAAGTAGTGTATTGTGCACTTTTTTTCATTTAAAAGTGCTGCTATATGAACAAAAGTGCAATAAAATTTGGTTTGCAAACACTTTAAACAAATAAGGTGCTTTTTTTACTGAAGCATTCCTTTTACAGAGTAGCAATCTCAAACAGCCCTTACATGGAGAAAGTGAGACCTTTAGACCAGAGGTTTTCAACCTTCTGGACTTGAAGGCCCCCCGTTGTCTGACATTATATCCCCGAATATATTTAGGCTACAGTATTTCTGCTATAGTTATGACAAAACTGCAGAAATGTATTAGCAGATACCAGGGCTATTCTATTAAATGCATTTTGTGATTCCAGAAGTTTTTTTTATTATTATTATTATTAAAAACCATTGTTAGTGATGTGGAAACATTTGTTTACATCTTGATTTAATTTGGGGGCGGGGGGAGATTAGAGTTAGATTATTTTAAATGTGTGTTAACTTAACATTAATATAATAATAATAATTAATATTTATAATTTATTAATTTAAATACTCTGACCTCATGCGCAGTAGACATCGTATTTAATGTTTTTAGTTTCTGTTGATTGTTGTAGCTGGGAGATAATTGTTCAGTCTACAAAATACTGAAAATGTCTTTCCTCAAATTTTCAGCAGA